TATATATTTTGAAGTTAATATGCAAAGTGGTTTGTATGTAAACCCTCCTTCCAAAGGAAACAATATACGTCAACTTCGAATCATACTGCCTTAGTTATGAATGCTAGTTTATATAAATTTCATGGCGGTAAGCTCACCGGTTTCACATGTAGCGTGAAGGCACTGTGCTTCTAGAAGACGCGGGTAAATAGGCCGAGGTAGAGTAATCTTCTTCGCCTTGGACCCGATCCTATATAACTTTAAAGCTCTTCTCGTCTAAGCTTTCACGGATCCACCTCGGGCAGGCTCGCATCGGAATCTTATCGCCGATGATGGAGAATACTTTGCAGCAACTCCGGCAATCGGCGAACTTGTTCCTCTCGCAGTATGAGCCAATCGCCCTCCTCTCTGTTCCTTTACTTGCGCTTGTAGTTGCCAGAGCTCTTCACTCCCTCCTGAGCGCAATTCAGGATAGGGGTATCAAAGCGGTGGTGATAGGCTTCATAATGAGCTCCGTGACGTGAGTCCTTGCGTCGCTATTTTGAATTTGCTTGGTTGATTTTGGTTGTTTTTGCTGATTTCTTGCGTTGGATTCTCTCGATTGGAGCAGTTTGATTCCGAGCGTCAGGAGCCGCATTGAATCCGAGAAGAAGAAGGTCAGTTGTTGGCTTTTTGTATTGTTTTCAATCCGATTTCATTTTTTACACAGGCTCAATTGAGGCCAAGTTGAAATTGAGGGTTATTACTCGATAATTCTTGCTGCTTTGGAGGTTTAACTGACATACATAGGAGTTATCTGCTTTCAGTTGATGGCGTATCTAGTTGTTTATGCTATGTTGAAAAAAGATCGAAACACCTGTGCTGACATACATAGGAGTTATCTGCTTTCAGTTGATGACGTATCTAGTTGGTTATGCTATGTTGAAAAAAGATCGAAACACCTTGTCTCTTCTAAAAAAATTATCTATTGTGGTGCCGAAAAGTTTAAATGATAAATTAAATGTGTCATAGATTCATGCCGATTTCTATACATTAAAAACATATTTTAGAGTATGAACTTGTTACATTTGGGAGGAATTCTGGAGCTTTAAATCCGTGTTTATTTCCGAGATTACTGAACCAAATGATGGATTTGGGAAATTTAATTATTTTACGAAGCGTCCTTTCAAACATCAAGTTAATAAATGGGTCCCAAGTAAAAATCCTGTATTGCTAATATTTTGTGAACAGGACAATTTCTGTTTTAGAAAGTCAGCTTGATGCATTGTGTTTTCAGAACAGCCCTCAAAATATGAGAATATGTTATCAAACTGTTAAATTTTTGGGGGCTTTGGAGATGGAAAACCATCTGGCATTTTTGACAAGGATTATCCGATCAATTTTGTAATATTCTACAAATGATAATTGCTGTGGAGGACATAAGTTTAAGCCATTATGAATGGTCTACAACTTGGAGTAGTCGAAAGAGCATACATCTAAGAATTAAGAAATGCAAATGATGGTTAATTTGCATCTTGACTGTTGTAGAACAGTTTTATTTGACAAATTTAAGAAGCTGTATAATCCTTTTGTAATGTTGTGGAATGCATAAAAAAATTGCATCATTTGCTTCGTTGAAATTGTACTGAATAAGTTCTTCAGGCAGTGGAGAAACTACAATCTAGCAACAAATCTAACAGGGATGACTGGATAACTGCTTTGCCAAGTATTGGACTAGGGAAGGAAGTTCTGGAGAAGCTAGAAGGGGCAAAATGTAAAGATGAAGATTGGAAAGGCAAATGCTCTGGGACAATGTATGTTTGGGATGCTGAAGAAATTTTTAAATAATGATATCTTTTTCCTTTCACTATTATGCATTTCATATTATAGGATATTCTTAGCTGTTTTCTTCTTCTGATGTATTTCAGCTATATTGGTGGAAGTCAAAGCGAGGGCCATTTTTCTTTGACAAATGAGGCATACTCAATGTTAGTAAGATGAAGTCTAAATTATCATATGATAAACCAGCAAGTTTTTATCATTATTATAAATTAATTCGCTTGATTCATTCAAGCTTAAACATCCTTGCAACTACTACCTATATTTCGGTTATTTATCTTTGTTTTATAGATGTTGATCTTAGTTAAACCTTATGTTGGGGATATGCAATCCTCTAGATCTATGGAAAAATACTGATTCGAGAGATCCAAGGTAAACACTTGAACAAAAGTGCACGAACAAGAAACGCAAAAATAAGAACAAAAAAATTTAACATTGGAAAAACCGAGAATGAATAAAACGATGGAGCAACACCACACCAAGAAATTCAATATGAAATGAGAAGAAATGTACAGATTACACTATACTCAAATTCTTTCTACAATCTTTGAACTTACAAATGCTCCTCTCAATCACACGAGAAATTATAGAAATCCACCCACAGAACTCAGAATGCTCATCTACATGCACTGCTCATTTTGTTTTTCACCCTTGTTTGTGCACTATCAATAACTCCTCTAAAATTCACATTGAGGACTTTAATGTCTAAACTGCTCGAATTCTTTTTGGCTGTAGATCACATGTCTTGAGGACTGAGTTTCCAAACACCTGCTTCCTAAATACTGAAAATATGCTCCTGCTCGCCGCTATGCCTCTCCAAGTCACTACCTTTCCAAACACTCGTGTCCTAGAACATTTGGTTGAGCGCCTGGTACCAAGTGTTGGGGTGTCCCTTAGGCACTGGTTCTTGTTGGTCGCTTCCAGTGCTGCTCCTAAGCCCCTTCCAGTGTTACTCCAAAGCTTTAAGTGAACTTTGAACAACACAATCAGACTCCATACAATAACACCTGAGCCTAAGTCACTGTTTTTTAGTTATATGATTGGTCACATAAAGGGTAGTATTCTCGCAGTTATAATTTGTTGTGCTCCAGTACATGAATTTATGTTCTTCTAGCCTCATAAATGTATTAAGTAGATTTTAAATATAAGTATGATGAGCACTCATTATATCGTTCTATTAAAATAATTTTTTATTTTCTTAACATTTAAATGTTGAATATTAAAACATTGTGTAAACATACTAATTGAAGATGACTATTTTTAATTAATAATTATTTAATTATCTATATACGATAATTAAACTTTAAATATTAGACATTATAATTTTGATAGATTTCCTTAAAGCATGATTATAGATCAAGCTTTATAAATAAATAAATATGCAAGCTTAAGCTTGATTTTAAAAATCAATTCCTCTTTCATTTTTTGTTAAGCTCAACAAAAGATAAATAAGAAAGCATGAACATAGCAGTTCTCAATGTATTTTGTTCTTATAAGATCATATTTATTGATACATCATTCCTCAAAAATTCTCCTCATTGCTCTAGAAATTCTCTCTTGCAGTTTTTTTTTTTTCTTTGCTTTATGCAATATGTTAGTTTAAATAAATTTGTTGTTACTAATTTTTTTATGTTGCTAATTTTCAAGCAGCTTTCAACTTGCTCTAGCTATATGAATTTATCCTTTCTATTGATCAAGCATTGTATCGGTTAAATTCATTTTTTAGGACTTAATTAATAATTAATTGGTATAAGATTTAATTTTGGAGGATAGAACTCTGGAGCACTTTTTAAATTTATAGAGAAATTTATGACTTGTCATTTTCATCATCATTAGCTCTATCCTATCTATTTGAGGTCAGCATTACAAATCCTTAATTTTCACTCACTCCCAATGAGTACTATCTAATTTGTAAAACATATTATTCTTCAAAATCGTTATTAGATGACTCTATCTTATGAGTTTCATGTTTTACGATATCCCTTAAAAGTTTTCAAGCAATACCATAATGATGGAATGCCTTTCTTATCATGTTTTATATACTGGCATGCATTCTTTTGACTGGGAAAAGATGTATGATTATGCCCTCGTATGAAAACATATTTACGGTTGTGTTAAACAGCAATGACCAACCAATATAAGAGTGGAAGTTTATATTTTTTTATTTTTTATTTTTAACATAAGATGCAAAATCTATGGGGTAAAAGATTTCACTTAGCAGAATATGATTATAAAGCTCTCCTGAGTTTCTAATCAATGCCATTTTTTAAAGCAAAACTCTAGTCCTAGAAAATGATTTAGGTAATTATGCAGCTAAAAAATTTTAAATGCATAACTAGCAAGAAACTTAGTGATGTGAATATCTGTCCGGCTGTGATTAACTTGAAAAAAATAGGAAAAAGAAGAAAGGGAAAGAAAAAAAAATGTGCTTTACAGCAAAATAAGAAGTTAAGTATCTAGAAATACTCAAGCTTAACTTGATTTTAAATTTAGCGTTTCTCTGAATTAGGATTGGACCACTTTGCATATAGCCTTTCTTCCTTTTGTTTTTTAATACGTATTTCCATGAAGTTGCTGTAATAAATGTGATTTTTAAATTTTTATGTTATATTTACTACCATCTCTTTACTAACTAAATTTCCAAATGTCGAAGTTCTCTCATCGAAAACTAGTGAGGTGTGCTATTTCGTGCTTTAATTCTTTTTTGAAAAATTCATTCTCTGGACCTTTCATTCTGTTTTAGCTTAATCAAATAGTTTGGTTTTTTTCTTTTTTTGCATTCTATAATTACAGCTAACTCTTTCCTTCATCAAAACAAATGATTAGGTGTTTATGATCTTTAAATGGGCATAAAATATTCTTCATCCTTTTTTTTTTCTCATAATTGATAAGCTGGTTCTTTTATGAAATTGGTAAAGAATTATTCTATTCTGTCATCAAGTTGTTGGACAGCTTCATACTTATGTTTTTCTTGGGCTATTGGACTTCTACATCTATTTAAAGTAGGAATTTGTTGTAATGTTTACTGTTCCTATACCACTTTTTATTAGAGGTTATAGCATTAAATACCCATTTCAGGTTTTCGCACACCAATCCATTACATCAGGATGTATTTCGAAGTGTGGCGAAGTTTGAAGCTGAAGTTGTCGCTATGACTGCTGCACTCCTTGGAAGTAAAGAAAAAGAATCAGGAGGGCAAATATGTGGAAACATGACATCTGGTGGAACTGAAAGTATACTTTTAGCTGTTAAATCATCAAGAGATTTTATGAAAGCTAAAAAGGGAATTACAAAACCAGAAATGTTAGTTGTGTGCCTGGAAGTTTATTTATTTTTTTAATTATAAAATTATGATTTCTTATTAATCTGTTGACGTAACCTCAGGATAATAGCAGAATCTGCACATTCGGCATATGATAAGGCTGCACAATACTTTAATATTAAGGTGCGACGTGTTCCTGTTAATAAAGAATTTGTTGCAGATGTTAAAGCTATCAGGCGAAGCATTAATAGGAACACCATTTTGGTAAGTGCTCAATAGTCTTTGTTCCGCACGCATGATTGTCAGAAAAATACAAGCCTATCTATTGCTGTGTTATGTAGTATTGTTTATGTCTTTAATAGTTATTTCAACGGTATCTCTTTCATGTAAGGTGTGATGGTAGCTTTTGATGGTGTTTTTGGGTGGGACTATTTTCTAGCCTTCTGTTTCTGCGTAAGGGTCAATTCAATTTGTTCTATGTCTTCACCCAAAAAAAAAAAAACACTACCCTTTTTTTGGTTCATTTAGATATTCTCTAGGAATTATTATGGTTTCATCATTGTGATTTCTCTCTAGCCAATTTTGAAAGTGAAACTTTCTTCGATAGTATGACCAAGCATCATGTGGAACAGACAATAATTGGGCTCTTTATCTCTCCTTACTTCCTCATGTTTTCAGGCTCCGGAAGTTTGAAGTTCGGATTCTTAGATAGCCTTACTTGCTCTCATTTTTAGGAATTAAATATAAGCGAACTTCCTTCCTGTTTACTGTAATTAGCTCAAATCCTTTTAAAAAGTGCTCCTATGCATTTTGTTATCAGGAGTGCTACAACCTGAATGGTTTTGTATAGTGCTTTGAGCCAATCGTCAGTCACTTAATCAACTTTACCAAAGCCTGTCATTTCTCCAACATAATCAAATTTTTAGACTAAAACAATGTATGATTTAGTTAGAGGAATGTTTTTAGTTAGGTTAGCTTATGTTGCTGACATCTTTGGAAGTGCTGGTAATCTTTGAAATTTGCCTGTGAATGTATTTTCTGATGTGTGCCTAACTTGTAATGGCGTGATTTCTAGTTTCAATTTAGTATTGATTAAATACCCATGTGCAAAAGCTTTTAAGTGTTCGATGTTTTTATCGAGAAAGCAAGTCGTGCTTATTTAGCACAAGTATATCTAACCATTGTTAACTTCGATTTATACCTTTGCTATTGATTTAAACTTTATTTTTTGAAGGGCCGTTATTACATTAGTACAACAATGTTTAGCATATGTTCTTACTCTACCCTAGTTTTACTTGGTGAAATAGTATTTAACTATTCGTTTATTTCCTTGTCTTGCAGATTATTGGGTCTGCACCAGGATTCCCACATGGTGTCATTGATCCTATTGAAGTATGACATGCTTGTCTTCCTTCAAAATCCTCAGCTTATCTATGAATTCATCTACATAAAAAGTATCTTCAGAAATTTATTTTCTCATTACTTTTTTTTATATGTTGCTGTGAACTCAACTATAAATAGGAGCTTGGGGACTTGGCATCTTGCCATGGTGTTTGCTTGCACGTTGATCTTTGCCTTGGTGGATTTGTATTGCCATTTGCTAGAAAGCTTGGGTATGTTTTGCAGAATTTGTATTTAGTTGTCTTCCTGAAACTTAAATTTGCATCGTGTTTTAGGTTCAGTCAAATTTGAAAATATACATTATTTTGATCATTTATAATAATTAAGTTTAGTAAAAAAGAGTTACTCTGGGATATCACTTATAATCGTTTTATAATTAAGGATTGTGGAAGGGCTTCATACAAAATAGTACAAGGTAGTAGGAAGTAAATGTTTTTAATTTAGCTATTTGGAAAGGTGTTTATGATCTCTTTATCTGTTTTGGATTTCTAGAACATCACATTTATTTGGTCTTATTAAGATTTTAGTTTATGGAAATTGTTTACAAGCATTATACGAAGTAGTATCTATGCATGAAATTATCATTTCAAGAAATTTCTGATATTAGCTGTAGCTTTATCTGTGAAAGAAGCCCACCTTTATTCGTATGTCTTTTCAAATGCTGTTTATCTTGTGATGCTTCACCAATTTGCGAAAACTGCACACAAATTTGCTTGTACCTTACTACCACATCTAGATTCTATGAAAATCAAGAGGGTTTACTCTTCAGTACTCATGTATGGAAGGATTATGAAGTTAGAAGAATGACCAAATATTGTGTGAATAGAAATCGTGAAAAGGAATTCTTTGAAAAATAATTTAACATGCAAAATTCAATAGGATTGAATAAAGAATTGAAATTTCTAAAGCTGATCTTAACTAGGAGAATAACGATGACTGGATTATGTAGTTATAATTTTAAATAATTCGGAAAGACTTATTGATCAACTAGCTTTTTAGCTATCTTCATTGGATATTGCTTTAGTTTTGTTATTGATACTGTATAGAGGCAAGGAAGATAAGAGCCAATTTTTTGTATTTTTTTTTTAAACATCAAAAGGTGTTTCAAAGTCTAAAACTTTATTGTTTATTATATTTATGAAATTGTAGTTGTGAGAATTCCTTCACCCTAATAATAAAATAGTCATTGCTATGCTCCTAGTAAAGATGCGTCTTTTATATGTTAGGTTCCATGGAGTTGACGAGCTAAGGCATAACCAGGAATTTTTGGACTATCATTTTTTCATATTCAGATCAACAACAGTATTTTTTGAAATTAAAGCCGTTAAATATCTAACAATACCTCTTCAATATATTGCCAATTTTATGGTCTGAGCCCACTCGAGGTAGTTATGTTGGTTGTGTTTTGTCAGTATGATATATGGATGTAAGTTATGGGGTTAATACTCATTTGATATGAGTGTAGGGCGAGGTGATGCAGTTTCAGAATTACTGGAACTAGTCGATGTGATAGAATTTTTTTGAACTTCTGTTATCATTGTCGATTTGTAATCCTCAGAATCTGACAACACCTGACTCGACCGTGCAACGGTGCAAAATTCCTTTACGTCGCGATCTCGATCATTATTTTCGATCAAGAACGACCAAGAACGACGTGGAACTTCTGTATGCATTAATCCATGCACAAGAACTAATTTTGTCATTCATAATTTAAAATGATGTTCATACGATTGTGAACACTTTTTCTTTAGTGTTTATTAAAATGTTTTCTTCTGTTTCAAGAAGAGTGGACAGCAGGTTCATTTGTAAAGCTATGAAATGTCGAAGGTAAGCATAACAAAAATGGACTTGGGTGTGCTAAGCATGTATAGTGGAGAGCAGTTGACGCTTCACAGAAATAATGTTAAAGAATAATACATTAAAAGGTATCTAAAGTCGATATGTTTGAAAGTTGAGCAAGAAGATTTCAACATTGAGTGGAATTTGCACAATTAATGGCATAGAATTACTCTAATTGGGAAAGAAGAATGGTTTGATTGGATGGATGGTCATGGTCATATATATCTACTATAGGATACATGGTCCAATTTGTGAAACAATGGATAACTAACCATGCGGGTAAACAAGAAAAAACTAAAGCACAAATGTTGTAAAATAAATGTGTAATATTCTTTTCCTTTCTATGGAAGAAAGCGGCTAGAATCAAGGTTTCTGATATATATATATATATATATATATGCAGATATATATATATATATATATATATATATATATATATATCCATCCCAGTATGAGAACCAAAGGTTGACTAACATGTGGGAGAAAAAGAAAAAGTATTTACAAATATTGTAAAATAAATTATTAATATTCGTTTCCTTCATATGGAAATAAGTGACTAGGTAATCCAAGTTTCTTATTAAGCATGCAATCTTAGAGTCACAGTAGAGAATAAATGAATGAAGAAATTAATGCTCCAACTGGTTCAATTTCTAAGATGGATGGATTGTTTGCTACCATGTTTATAACATTTTTCAGAATAGGTTATTGAAACTTAGCATTAGCCTTTAACACTTTTAACACTGTTGTCTGCCCCTTCACCATATTTTGGTTTGGGTTCCATAATGTTGGTAGCCATGAATCCTTTCAATTTTATGAAAGGTGGACGTTCATTGCTTTGAGTGAGTCTAGAATTTTCGCCCTTCCCTTCAAGCTATGTATATATATCAATCATTTTTAGCTTAGAATTAAGGATGTGAAATTTTATTTGATTAATAGCCTTAGTGATAACACCAACTGTTAGGTATGACTCATAATACCAGGATTTGGAGTCTCTTGGAATGAAGCGATGTCTCTTGGAATTGAAGAGATGTGTCTCTTGGAATTTAGTGGGTTGAGATCAACGAGGCACAGCAGAAGCATGATGGCCTAACCCACATTGGTGCAGGTGTAACTCCCAGGTATCTTTTCTCCTAAGGGGTTGGATATTCGTCAAGGTGGAGATCTTATGCCATATAGGGACAGATGCGAGAACAAAGCGGAGCGGAGCAGAGAGAAAAAATCTGTCCAAATTGGGAAGTTACGTTATATGAGTTGGGGCTATACGGTACAAAGGTAATTTGTTATGGTATGACTCATATACCATATAGGGACAGACGCTGGAACGAAGCGGAGCGGAGCGGAGCGAAAGAATCTGCCCAAATCGGGAAGTTACGTTATATGGGTTGGGGCTATACGGTACAGGGGTAATTTGTTAATTACATATTGTACTGTAGGGCTTACTCAAGGATTATAAATAGACCTGTTTGTAATCCTAGGTTTTTGAGAGAGTTGGATCCCCTTAGGTCTTTGAGAGAGTTGGATCCTCTATTCTGTAAATCCTTTTCCAGAATATTGAAAAGAACTCGTTGCTCTGCTCCTGAGGACGTAGGCATCTTTGCCGAACCTCGTTAAATCTCTGTGTTCTTTTTTATTTGTGTCGTTACTGTTTTTCTTCGCCCTAATTTTCTCAACACCAACCATTTGATATTTTCTTGGAGATCTAAATTATTTGGATTTTTATTTTATTTTATGAAGTGTCTATCAATTAGATATGTCTAGTCTGATTATGGTTACTAGAATTTTTAATAATGATGATACCTGATTGTAGATTGGTTGTCTCAGGTCATCATCATTGGTTTTTTAATATGGCCATTTTATATCTTTTATAATTTTCTTAGTCGCACTTATTCAAAAAACTCACGGGGTCCATAGCCCTGAAATCTTCTTCTACTTTTGGCAACTGCCACCTACTTCTTACTTGTCCAAGCGCTCACACAAATGAGCACTAGCGTGATTTGAATTTATGAGCATTTATAAATTTCTTGAAAAACAAGCAGGTTTTTTTCTTGTCTAAATTGATTGGTTTAGGCTTGCATTGATGGTTAAAATCAGGAAAATCTTTCCAAGTTAAACGTGGAAAATACTCATCCACTATACTCATGTTGGATCGCTTAACAGAATCATGTTAATTTTTGCCGAATAATTCCTTTTCTTTTGAATGGATTTTTCTGTGTGCGCCATGTAAGATATCCTTGTTATTAAATTTTGACGCCTTTGGTATAATTTTTAGCTTTGGTGCTTGATACACGGCTAGAAAACGCTGTTTTCTTGTTTCTTTTGCATGCTCTTAGACATCTTCATATCCTTATATCCTAATTTCTAGTATTGGCTGATCCTTCATTTTGTTGTATATGTTTAAGTAAATGGATTATTCCTAAAATTACATAATTTTTTTATTTAACAGGCTATATAATTCATTTATTAGTAAATACTCTTTGATTTTAGGTACCCAATTCCACCTTTTGATTTTTCCGTCAAAGGAGTTACGTCAATCTCAGCAGATGTTCACAAATATGGATTAGGTCCAAAGGGCACCAGTGTAGTTCTGTACAGAAATCATGAAATTAGAAAGGTAATGCACACTATCATTGGAACTTTTTAGAATCTAACGACTTCTGCTTTATTTTCTATTAATACTTGATTGCAAAAAAATATCAAATCTATTAAATTTAAAATGTGAGAGAAAAATGGTGATGTTTTTCTCTTTGACGTGGATCACGTGGTTTTGTTGGACAACATTTTGCTTTTCTTTTTACCCATGTTATTTTATGGTTTTTTCATTCACACAGGACACCTTTAGAGCCCATGAATAAATCTGCTTTTTTTTTCCAAGCCGGTTAATCATTATTTAAGTTGTGGCAGTCATAATTTTAAGTAAATGTTTACCTTGGTAATTATTTACTTGATGCTTGACATGGGAGCTTCAGGATGGCAGGATGTGCAATCCTCCTGGTGAGTAATCAACTACAGTGGCGACCTTTTGGGATCCCGCAATTTCATTTCTGTGCGGGTATCACAGCTTCAGAATCCGCAAGCGGGGGATAAGCAACTGATATATTTTTTTTCCAAGAATAACTGTCTTTTACTAATTTTCCTACAGCTTCTCACTGTTATAGCCCTCCATTTGTGAATCCCCTTAATTAGATTGATGCCAAAATCTTAAACATCGAGACGTCTTTTTAGTGTAATGATGGAATTTTATTGAATCTCCGAAGTGAAGTGTGCTCATCATGGAGCACTCTAGGATGGGTGACATCCTGGGAAGTTACACCAACGAGGCAGAACCGTAAGACTGTTAGGCCAAAGTGAGCAATACCTTGATAGGTGAAAGTTCAGGCTGTCACAAATTCTGTTTTTATAAGGTATTCAAGCTGTCACTATCTAACCTAATATAACATATATATGATAATAGATTATATCAGGTCGAGCACATAATATTTATTTTACTTAAGATCTATTTTGAAAGAGTTTCTTTTAACTTCTAATTTTAATACACAAAGCAACTAAATTATCAATAATTATATAAAATAAAGCAAAAGGTCATCGACATCACATTTTTCTTTGTATACATCAGAACTGTTTGCATCCAAAATATTTATATATAATGATCATAATTTTCTAAAAACGTCAACAAAATATACAGATCTATCATAATCACAAAATACAATTTATTTGTATGTAAACAGTTTTGATGTATACAAAGAAAAATGTGATGATAATTTATTGGCTTTGTATAATATAAATTAGAAGATTAAAGAAATTTTTTCCATATAAAGCTTGGGCTAAGTATCTGTTATATACTAACCTGATATAATCTATTATTTTATATAGGTTATATTAAGTCGGGTCGTGACTAAATTAGTTTCAAAGGATAACACCAGTCGGAAAATGGGAACTAAGTTTTATACAAAACAAATTGTTATGCCATGTGAGCCACCTCTTGAACCCAAGATGGGACAAAGTACTAAATGGTGGGGCCACCTCTTGAATTTGTATTGGCCACTTGTAGAATCTTATCTATCTTATGGATGATTTTGTGTATAGAGCACTCGCGAGAACATCAATTACTTAAGTGGGGGGAGATTGTGAAACCCCTTAAGTTGATTAAAGTCGAACAATTAAACATCGAGGCACCTTTTGGTGTCAAGTTAAACGTGCTCGTCCTGGAGCACTCCTATGATGGGTGACCTCCTAGGAAGTTAGACCAGCAGGGCAGAATCATAAGGTTCGTAGGCCAAAGCAAAAATACATTGATGGGTCAGAGTTTGGCCTGTCACACCATCTTCGCTGCCGCTGCTATCCAGCCCTTCACTGTATAGCCCTCCATCCTTGTTGATGCCACTGTATAGCCCTCCATCCTTGTTGTCACCACTGTTTCAACCCTCCTTTGTTGTTGTTGTTCAGAACAACAAAGAGTCGCCACTTTTCTATTGTTCCAACCCTCCACACTTACAGCCTCCACTTCCTCTTGCTGCCATCATCCAGGACAGTTATTTCACATCGATCGTTGTTGCGTGCTTACTGTTCGAAATTTGGGAAATCGCTGCTTTGTTGTTTTCAGCCTGCTAACAACCTCGTCCACCATCAAGCCACCTTCCAGACCCTCACTGACCACCTCCACTACCCTTGATCCAAATCTACCGCGAGTTAGTGCCTTGTTGTTGTAATATCCTATTTATGTTTGTTTGCTTGGAGAATGCTATTTATGAGAGTAGTAATCACTTTTCTTAACAATAGGGCCGGGAGATTTCTTGGTTCATCATGCTATTGCTATGGGCTTACATACGACTGCATGGATTTTAGTAAAAAGTGCTTTAGATGCGCGTGGCTCCAAGTTATTGTCAGATAAAAAGGAATTTGGGTAGTATTTATTTTCTATCAGTTCATCATGCTATTGCTCTGGGCTTACATACGACTGCATGCATTTTAGTAAAAGGTGCTTTAGATGCGCGTGACTCCAAGTTATTGTCAGATAAAAAGGATTTTGGGTAGTATTTATTTTCTATCGTTTTTTTAAACCTTTGGTATCATTTGGTATTAGAGTCAGTCTAACTCTAGTCTTATCCTATGTTTTCTTATGTCTGCGAATACCTAACCCAAATTCCACCTAAAACCCTTCTTCATGGATTTTTAAATCAGCCACCTATTTGTTTTTTATTTTCCACCCAAAATCGCCCTCACACACCCCCTCTTCCACCTTCTCAAGCCTAAGCTCTAGCTATGCCACCAAGAAGACAATTATCAAAAACCTAATCAGGTTGAAGAGACATAAAGTTGCTTATAAAAAATCCTCAAAAAGATGTCCCTAAACTTTTTATTAAAAATATGCAGTAGGAATTTCTTCAACTGCAACAGAGGCTTGTGGTTTTCATGAGGAAACAATCTGAAAGGGTCACCCATAGCCATAATGATGATTTTTTAGATCGAAAGGGTGAAGAACCACAACCCAAAGATTTGACATGGAATATCATAGGAGAAATTATGATATGAAAGTAAAGGTGGATTTACCATATTTTGACAGTCACGAGGAAACGGAAGAATTCATCGAGTGGCTTCAGGTATTGGAGTAGTTCTTTGAATACAGGAATATTCCACAAGATGGAAAGGAAAAAATGTCTCCCCCCATTATTTTAAAAAAGAGCGTCTTGTTGTGGTGGAAATATTTGAAGCACCTTTTCCAACGTCAGAGAAAAGACAAAATCACAACCTTGTCCAAGATAAAAGGGGAGATGCAGCGCAAGTTTCTACCCACACATTACATGCAGGCTACATTCATGAGACTTCACCAGTTACAGGAACATCACCAAGAGATCGGCACATCTGACGGGTAGAGTTCAACCTCAAGATCAAGCAGAAATAGTACACCCAATGGCACATTCAAGCCAAACCCGCTTGAGTAGAACTAGTTTTGAATGGAGAACAGGTTGAGCCAACAAACATTCCTAAATCCGTCCCATCTATGAAGTGCGTTAAGTGCCACAGTTTTAGGCACAGCGCATCAGATTGCCCAAACAAGATTATGGTCTTTTTCATTTAGCAACAAGCATTTGAGGAAATGGAAAATGACAAAACAAAGACTGAAGATGATGAGGATGCAAAGGAGTACTAGCCTCCAACTAATGAGAGAGAGATCTCTGTTATTCAATTTTCTTTTATGAGAGACACTCAAACATAATTTATATTGGTTGTTTTTGAGTGTCATGATTTCAAGGAACCGATACTAGAAGAGATGTCTGTTATTCAATCTGCTTTTATGAGAGACACTCCAACATAATTTATATTGGTTGATTTTTAGGGACATGATTTCAAGGAACCGATACTAGACAGATGTCAACCCCGGATAAGAGTATTCAAAAGTTTCATATACATAATCTACCCAATGATTGCCCTTACTGAAAAAGGTCCAACATGTCAAGGATGAGTAGCTTTTGAGCTATTTTTGGAAGATTATATCGAACTATTTGGGTATTAATTTCAGTTTGACAGTGTACTCATCGACAAATGATCAAACAAGAGGGATGACCCACACGTTCGAATTCACTTCAGGAACTTTGTGGGAAAGAACATCTTATAGTGGGATTCAAGTCCTTCTAGAGAAGAACATGATCTTTCTCCTGAGTGGTTTCCATTGAGTGTAATCCAACATGCCATAGATGTGACTTAGAGTTTGTTCCTCTTGAAAGACATGTTTATTTGATGGGTTGAGTACAAGAAATGGGAGAAGCAGGTTACACATTTAATTACTCAAGCCTTAGTTTGTGAGGATACCCGTTCATGTGCAATTTCAGCTTTGTTTTTGTCCAAAAATGATGATTTTTTTATCTGACTGTCCTTGGAATGATGTGTGTGTTTCAGTATTATCTAGAATGGATAAGAGCATAGATTTTGTAGTGGAGTTACCTTAGACATATCAAGATAATTACTTTATCATGTTTGGTAGATTGGTTCGAGAATCTTCATGGGAAGAAGACTAAGCTCCCCCTTCCCAAGAAGAATGACGCGGAAGCATCAGGATGGTAGCACCTGCGATGCCCCTTGCATGTAATATGCTACAGTTAGGACCTTTCTGGATCCCGCGATCCTGTTTCTTCATTGGTATTGTGGTTTCCAAATCCGCAAGCACGTGAGAAACAGCTGCTATTTCTCTTTTCTATTATTATATATTTCTTATTTTAGTAAGTTCCCTTTTTTTCCATTCCTTTCAAATTAGATAATCTACTTTTATGAAACTTATTTATGTGGCATTAGGTTTTTAGGAATTTCTGTTTTTGGGTTGTGTTGTTCAGGACTGCCCCCGATGTTTTCGTTTACTGTCTAGGGCTGTATCCGAGGGTTCGAGTGGTGCCCCGGCTCTATCTTGCTCCCGAGGTTGTAATTGTCCTCCCTCAACCCTTCCGCATTCCCACATTTATCCACATCGCCTTTCTCTTCTGCAGCCACTCAGAACAGCAGCCTTTTTCTGTTTTTCTTCCTGTTCTGCTGCAGCCCAAAACAGCAAAGAGTGTTGCATTCCTTCTTATG